ATTTTTTCATTTCCAATTTTTTTTCTGCCTTTATTATCATTAGATGAACAATATTAAAAAAGAAAAAAATGATTTTGAGTTTATAAAGACTAATATCCTGAAATTCACAAAATGAATGGTCTAGATTCATTTTTTGATAGGACTCATTTTGACCATATATAGGGTCCAAATGGAACTTTTCTTTGAGGGGGGGGGGGGGGCGGAGGGATTGATTATTTAGATGAAGATAGTTTGCGCGTAAAATTTGGGGTCATACAAATACCACAAATATGGTTTTTTAGAAGTGCAATTGTATTATACTATGATACAACTGTTGCTTTGGATCATTGCACACACACACACGCACACACAGATATATATATATATATATATTAATATAATTATATTTTATATATTTATATTTTTTTTATGGCGGAATGTTGGACAGCTTAAAAACAATACGCGCATAGAATGAGTATAGTGAAGATAATGATGTTGAGATGGATGAGAGTCAAAAGAATAAGGGACAAAATTCGCAATGAATCTATTCGAAAGAATTTAGATGTGGCACCAATAGGTGATAAAATGAGAGAGTGTAGACTTAAGTGGCTGGCCACGTGTGGCACCGACCAAGTACACCACATGTTAAGATGTATGAATTAGTTCAAGTGGAATGACTAAAAAGGACAATGGGTAGGCCCAAAAGAAGTAGTCCGAAAAATATATGGGAACTTATGACCTCACTGAGGATATAACCTTTAATAGAGAAAAATAGAGAACTAGGATTCATGTAGCCAACCCTAATTAATTAGAGAAAAGCTAAAATAATGATGATGATAAATATATATATATTTATTATATATAATATATACTATATGATATTTACATTATATTATATATGGGCAAGCTTTCTATGCTTCCCCTATAGCATAGAAATTCTATCCTCTCCCTTATCCAACCATCCATTTTGAATGGAGGGCTAAGTTTGCCCCAATCACAACGTCACGTCTCTACACTATTTTATTTTTAATTTTTTTTATAAACTATTTTGACACCAAAATTTGGACGTCCATTCCTCTATTACACTCGCACTAACAAAAAATATAAAAAAATTATTTTCAATAAAATAAAATGATCAAAATACCCCTAAAAGTTTAAAGGGGTATTTTGGCCATTATATTTTATTGAAAAAATATTTTTAATATTTTTTATAGCATTGCCTCAATGAGAAGTTGGCAGGTATCAAATTTCATATTCATACAATTTGTATCAGAAAAACTAAAAATAAAATACTTTGAGACGTCAGATCTAAAATCAAATGGTGAGTGGCTCTCTTGATCAAAATTGGACGGCTGGATAGTACGGGGAGGATGAAACTTCTATATTGTAGGGGAAGCATAGAAACCTTTCCCATTAAATATTACATATATAATACTTGTATTAATGATATATATAAGAAAAATATTAGCTTAGCCAGCTCGCTCTTGTAATGTAGGTGCACAAAATGATCCAGATTTCGGCTTTCAATTTGGGCGGCCAGGATGCATCCCACGGGGAGGGAATTTGAAATGAAAAAAAAAAGGTTTTTGAAGCCCATACTAACACCCACAGAGGCCTCTGAGGAACCCACCTCCCTCTCAGCGAACCATCTCTCTGAGTTACCCACCTTCTCTCTCTGCGAGCCATCTCTCTGAGCTTACTAAAAATCGTTCCTCTCTATGAGCCATCTCTGTGAGAAACCCAAAATCCTATCCGTGCTCAACAAGCTCTCAAGGTATGGTATCTTTGTCTCTCTCTCTCTCGTTTTTCCATTTCCCAATCTCTCTCTCTCGTTTTTCCATTTCCCCATCCCTCTCTCTCTTTTTTCCATTTCTCCATCTCTCTCTCTCTCGTTTTTCCATAGCACCCAATTTCTCCATCTGGT